CTGAGTAGTTAGATATCTCAGCAGGGAATCGGGACCCTGAAATTGTCTTGCAGACAAAGAAGTCTCCACTCCTTCCGACTCCACAAAGTCGCCCTACGAAACGTAGGATGCGACATTTTCGCTTCCTCCCTCTCAATAGTTATCGAGGTGTCGTAGACTTTATATTTAGCCGAAATTTGACCTCTGACATCTCGAAGATATGTCACATGCGGTCAAATAGGCGGGAAATTTCAAATTTTCTAAAGGTACAGCTCTTCGAGTTTTCTCGCGTTATCATTTATGAGACCGACAGTCTACAACTTAGACGTGAAATAAGGAATCAGAGAAGCGGTAGAGACATTACCAAGTGTGAATTCGATGGAAAAATTCCCAAGTGTGAATTAGACAGGAAAACAATCCCAAGTGTGATTTCACAGAATTCCGTGTGCGATTCGAGTCACCATGTACCAAGTAAAACTGGCTAATTGCATTCGTTACGGTCCGAATCCCCGTGTGCGATTCGAAGAAATGTGTCGTCGAACGATGTCGTTAAAAATTTTATCATCCAGATAATCTCAATACAACTAGGAGAATCTAATTATTTCTTTCACTTTGATCGACGATTTGCATCTCCTTTCTACACTACGTATACTCTTCAGCGTTATATGGAAATTGAAGAATACACGTGTCCTTTCTCTGTTATGCAAAAACCAGTATGTCAAGTGGTTTCTTTCCACGCGATCCATTTTCACAGTGTTTCGTCAAATCGTTTTTATCGTTGATACATCCGTATGCATAAATAAACGTAAGCTTATCTGAATGTTTAATAAAAACACGCGCAGGATCAGTGAGAAATAACTCTGACTCGGCGTCGAAATCGAACGAAAAAAAAAAAAAAAAGAGAAGAACGAACGAGAGAGATGCAATAATATGTATCTTATACGTAGTTTCGTAATATCACAATTACGTAACACGGTGGATGTTTCTCGGTTTCTAGATCATACTCTTATTAATGCCCGCCACGAAGTTCCCGCTGATGCATGTGCGCGATATTGGAACGAATGTAAAAAAAAAAAAAGGTGTACACCGTGTGCTTATGATAGAGTGTTACGCTGGCAGAGGAGAACGATTTCAATTTTTACCTTGAATAGAAATTGGGTTTGCCGATATCGGCGTGGAACGATGCCAAGATAATGGAGCATCGCGTGATTTCTTGCCGTGTAGGAATGTTCAATAAGCTTGTTTAACATACTTTCGTTAAGTGACGGATACTTGTTATATTCGTTCTTTCCATTATTATTATTAGTACCGTTATCAGGGTGCAGAACGAACCGATCTCTTTCAACTCAAGCTTTCAACTTGAAAATTACAATTTTATATATCAGGTGTAGAAATTAATTCGGTGCTCTTTCTGCGACGAAGTCTTGAAGAATTGCCGTACTTCTTCAGAGATGGAATTCGTCAGCTATAAAATGTAAAAGTGCCGTTCGAAATAATGGAGATAATTTGGAACGTGAAAATTGCGTTTGATTTTTTGTGAATTAATAATAAAAACCGAATTAATTTCTACACTTAGTACAATTTACGATTAACAATGTAACTATTGAAACTGTAAATATGTAACAACGTCAGTTTTACACCGATGTCGAAAAATTGGTAATGTTTAAAAAATAGGTAAAATTGTTCCGAAATAAAGGAAACACACCGCGTTGATAACAATACTCGGACAAAATTCTCCGATGATGATAATCCGTTAAATGAGAAATACTGCGAGAAGTTTCTGATTGAATTCGATGTTAACGTTACATCGTACTAGGGCACAGGTAAAATCTAAATTTTACCACCAGAATTATTTCCTCTGCTTTAAGTATTCGAATAAATCTCACGACGTCGCAGGATACAAGTGTTTTCATTCCACGCAGAGGCCTCGAGGGAGAGACGATGTTCCTCGGGGATATTTTTAGGATTCGACGTAATACAATTATACGAGTGCACCCTCTTGCAGAACGTAACGAATATATATCATCGGATAACGAGTTACCCCTTTAAAAACGAAGAAATCTCGAAAACAAAGAGATCCACGTGAACGGGTGGAAATAACAATAAAACTGAAGGATTTTATTGTTTCGCGAACAATGATGATGGTGCTGAAAATGCTCGAGGTTTCCCGCCAAGTGTTGGGGTAACTCTTCACCGTGCTGTTTTCATCCCCCTGGGAATAGAGAATGTTGGTATAAAAGGTATAAAAATTACCGGTTCTTTCTTCAACGGGCGCGTACCCACTTCCTCCTCGTCGCTGGAACTCTCGCTTTCGCTCAAGTCAGAGCTGAAATAACACTCGCCGGAACCGTACTTGGTGAAATAGTGGACCACCGCGAATTGTATTATCGTGGCGAAAATGAAGGCGAACGAGAGGAAAACAAAGAAGTCCAGGGCAGTGGGGTAAGGAACTTTCGGCAGATCGGTGCGCGCCTCCAATCCCAAAAACGTCATCGTTAGCACGGTCGTTATACCTTAAACAAATGTTCACAGAGTTTCCCTTCAGTGCTTCTCTTTTTTTTCTACGTGAAAAAGAAAAATTCATCGTTAAAAGACTAACTCGATGTATGAGAACAAAACGAGTTACTTTAATCCTTTGTAAACGAAGGACTACGTACCGTGTCCGAGATACTGATTACTCGCGTAACATACCGGGTGTCCCAATTTTTTTCCGATCAAACTTTGTCAGTGTGTTCTATGGGCGTAGGTAAGAAGAAAATGTTATATAAACGTGGGCCGTTTGAAGCTTCGTTAAGAAGTTACAGCGAAGATACGATGTAGGAAAAGAGTGGTAACGAAGTTGCGGTTCAAGACAAAAATGGCGCTGGCAGAAGTTAGATTCAATATCTTCGACGACCGCAGATCGTAAACACAACATTTTTCTCTTACTTATACCCGTGAAATATATTGACAAAGTTTGGTCGGAAATAACTGTGACACCCTGTACAACTAGGTCAATATTTAAATATATCGGAATAACATTTTCCTCAAGTATACGTATACGAGTTGACGATAACTATTTTTCGTATTTATCGTGGTGTCCATAATTTTTTGTGTACCCAGTACATAGGACTCCATCGTCCACAAAGGGTTAAAACGAGATTATAAGCGAATAAATCGTTCAAAAATGAGTTTTCGAAAAATAACGATTGTGCCGCTTGTTCTTTTACTTCGAAGTTATTGATAATTTATTCGAAAATCATTTATTTTGGTTCCCTTTTGAATAGAAAATTAGCAAAGAATATAAGACACAATAGGTGTATTTTAGAAAATATATTCCTTTGCGAATTTATAAATAATGATAAAATTAATAGCAGAATTAATATAAATAAAATTAATAATATCCTCGTTTCTTCTTCCAAATTAAATATTGCTAAAAATTTCTCTGCTACATGTAACTAATAGTAATACCTACTTACATGATCTTTAACGATTACAAATAAATTAATTTTTGCATTTTCTCTTTTCCATTTTTTATACTTTTTCGTTTCTCTTCCTAATTACTTCGGATAATATACGAAACAAGACTGACAAAACAAACTTACCTAGCGATACACGATCTGCAGTGGCTTCTCGATTTAACCAGAAAGAGACCCAGGATAGAACAACTAGCAAAACACAGGGCCCGTATACTTGTATAAGAAAATTACCCATGTGCCTTTGTAGATGAAAATACACCAACAGCATCGAGTAATCGGCTGAAATAGAATTCACTACATATGTATTTATTATCATCTGTCATCTATACAGGGTGTCTCGTTTAACTAATTAAACATCTCCAATGTCTCTGCCTTTCATTTTACAATTACATTCTCTCAGCTGTAATATAATACGATAGCAGAAATGTAGCATCTAATTTGAAAAGTGACTATGAAATCTTCAAAAAGAAAATGCTTGTTACTATCAAAAATAACACGGATATCAGAGATGCTTATCTTACTTGAAATATATTGTGTTCTGTCATTATACGTAGCAACACACAGTATTTCATAAATATTATGCAACACAAAATGAAACTATAAATATAAAATTTAATTTCTACATTTTGTCTTTATTACATTTCCTCAATATTCCTTTCTATCATACCACGTGTAATAAAATGTTCCGTTACAAAGTAAGAAACTGGTAGATCTCCGGAGATTAGACTAATATAAAATGATCTCGTGGATAAAACTAACAAAGTTATCGAGATAACTCAATTCCCTCGAACTTATTCCACTCGAATCATCCTGGCCTTTTATTTTCTATTTACTTTGCACTCTCCCCGATTTTCATCTAGAACTCTACTACGGAGTTCTACGTCAAACATCAACTGCAAATCGAAATCAAATATCCGAGCGATCATTAGTTCCTCTGGTTACGCACAAAATGTATCAACGTCGAACGTATCATCAGCGCTGTTTGCTCGCATTTTTTCGCCTACCACCCTGCAACCCCTCTGCACCGAACGTTTACAAGGCGGAGCAACTTTATCGAACTCCCGCCTCGTTCGTCTCACCCCCCCTTTTGTTTCCCTGAATATTATTTCCATCTCTGACGCGGTGTTTCGATTTGTCGAATGCAAACAGAAACGATACGATACATATTGCGAATGTTACACTGTTGCGTGAGTGGATCTTTAACCCCTTTGAGCCTAGCAACTTTTTGTACACCTTGTTTTCACAGTTAATTGCGAATTAAATTGAAAAGAAATTCGCGTAGTAATTTGAAATACGTATACAGTGTGTCGCCACGAAATTTCGGGACCTCCCTTTGAACTTTCACATATCACACGTGAATTAAATTATATTTAAGTACGCACGGTTTTTATAAACGAGAGTTTCTTTATCTGCGTTTTTCTCGAAGATACAAATGTTGCCTTTCGTTTTTCAAGCGAAATTATAGCGTTCTTTAAATATTTTTTATTCATCAACTAACACACTGACACAAATAAGTAACTAACATAAATAACGTACAAAAAATGAACAGAAGTCACGCGACATCGTGATACTTTCAACCGTTCTCGATTAGAATAAGGTCGCATACATTTCAATTTCAAAAATTCCTCGAGGTACGGTATATTTCAGAAGCAGCTTGACACAGGAGCTTTTCGAATGAAATATCAGGCGTTAGAGGAAGTTTTCTGTGCAACTTCACGTGTTAATAGAAGATTTATAATGCAAGTTCTTCCTTGTGTACAACTTGAAACCATCTCTCTGGTAACATACGTATCCCATCGTGGAAAAACGGCGCAGCTTACGAAACGATAAATTTATCGACGAATCTTCGCACGTCGTCGTAAGTTGCAAAACTGCATGTCCCTTAAGGAAAGCTCCATTGATCTGAACAAATGGTAGTCACTTGGTGCCAAGTCTGGCGAGTAAGCCACGTGAGGTACAACTTCCTGTCTCAAGTTTACGATGGTATCCTTCGTCGATTTTGCAACCAGAGAATTGTCATGCAAAAGTACGATTTTCTGACACTCGTGTCTTTAGAAAAATCTTTGTTTCTTTAACCCCTTGACTTATGATGTTCTTTCTTGCTGACTTCGTCTGAGTGTCAGTTATTTACTGTTTCAGTGCTGTGTTAGGTAAGAAAAGCTGATGTATTATAGATTGTTTACATTCAGTAATTCTCGGTTTTATAAATTCAAACGAAAGTTAGAACAAAAATTAATTTTTCTTACTGATATAGCAATTTTAGTTGCGTCTCGGTTAATATCTCGATTAGTTTAACCCTTTCGCGATCAGTGGGATGTATACGCTCCACTTGAGTCCTCGAGCTAAAGTTAATCTCAATTTAGTATCCGACGCGATGATCCATAGATAAATAACAAATTCTTGAGAAAAATAATTCTAAGAGTAACACTCTTCAGTAGCTCTATGGTCTTTTCAGTATTGTAAAAGACCATACGACTGTACCGAAAGTAAACTTCCTAGAGTAGCCATTTTGAAGAAAACTGTTTCTTCCTTCTTTTGACATATTCATACAACGTTGTACACGAATTTAGACAAGAAATTAATTGTAAAATTGTAAATGTATCGCAGATAAAACGATCTCTAAGCTTCGAAGACTCGAGTGTGAGAATTTTAACCGAAGAACTCTCCCTAACACCCGATACAATGTCGAACAGAACTTTTTAGATATACAAAGGGTTAAAAATTCCGATGATTCTTGTGACGCAATCAGAATCGGCCTGAACGCGACACTTGTTTGCGTGCATTAATCAATGCTAATCCAATTAAAAGTCGAAGTCCTCGCGACTCGACTCGTCTCTTCTTTCTCCCCTTGTTGTCAGCCGATGGAAATGCAAGAGGAACGAGTTTTCCGCTGGAGGATGTTGCAATTAGTCGTCGTTTCTCTCGGTTGTCAACTTTCAACGTAGAAACCCTGCCTCTTTTCTGCATTCTCTTTTCTTCCTTTTTCTTCTTCTTCTTCACGTCGCCGTCGTTTCCTCCTACCGCTTCCTCGCCCCTCTTCGAATCCCACCCGCTAGTTCTTGGTTCATTCGTAGCGTCGATATTCCTGGAGAATCCGTAAGCGTGGCTCGATAAAAGTTTCCAATCGAGTTTCTTTTCAGTCGTTAAGAGACCATTCCTTTTCCACCGTTTCTCTAATTCGGAGGAGCCTTGGTCACCGACACTCTTCCGAGCTTTCGACTCTTATCCTATGACACGCTTTCTTCTCTCTTTCTTCTGTCTCCTCTTTGTTTTCATTTTTTTTCCTTACTTTTCCGTTCGCTTCTTCTTTACTCGTCGTATCTCGTTGTCGATCGAGGGTTCTGGTTCTGCAAGTTCTTGGTTGAAATTGTAGATGCTTCTTCTTATACATCTGTATATTTTGTTTCTTACTTCGTATTTTTTAGAACGAATTCTTATATTTTATTTGTTATATTTGAGGGAGGAATAGCGTTGTTCCTTCATTTCTTATGTATCTTTGAATTCTAGAAAAAATCATTAATTACTGAAGTAAATAAAGCATAAATAAGGACTGTACATTATCGATAAAGTAGGTAACTTCCACTAAACGTACTTATCACAGTTTCCAACCGAGACAATACACTTCCAATCACACGAATATACAACGTTTCCGGTTTATATTTTTAAATTCTGTTATCCTTAATTTCCGGCTAATATCAGTTTTTACGATCATCCCTGAATTTTGTTCCAGAAGTAACGGAACACCCTGTATTTAGAATTTTCATCGAAATATCGGAAGTTCTCTCACGTAGGACGCCTTCAATTTGTCGCCGCGAAGACATCAAAGTTCTATTTATACTTCTTCACTCCATTTTACAGAATGTACATATTGTAGTTCATTCGTGGGAAAAGTATATAATAATTTTGTTTGATCTACTATATCAACGTCATGTTCTTCCACACCAAATGTTTAAGTCATAGAATAAACTATAGAATACAATTTACAGAACTGTATTCGTAAAATATCTTTGAAGAAA